TCAGAGTTTTGACAGCTTCCTCCGCCTCCGCCCGCTCGTCAAACTGGATGAAAGCCACCCCGCGGGAAGCGCCTGGGAACAAGAGAGCGGGCGGTGACTTATTCTGACTGACAGCCAATCGAGGCGCTTTATGTTACTGAGAAGAGTTGGAAAAATGCGAGTCATGGGCCAATATTCTCTTTAAGTGATAACGCTGAACCACCAATGCCATATTGAGAGGTTGTAACCATATATATTTCCTTTCCTTTTTTTAAACGGAAACTTGAGGTTAAGCGTCCCTCTGGTCTGTCACAGGTCTTATCACTTCAGAGAGTAGCATACCTGCGACTTTGTCTCGAATCAGCTTGGCGGACTCCACCTCTCCGATGCTGCTGAAGAGGCTCCGCAGCTCGTCCTGCGACATGCTCTGAGGCAGGTAGTTCACGATCAGGTTGGTCTTGGAGTCCTTCCCCTCGTCCCCTCCCATGTGCTCTTCGTAACCGTTCGACATGTCAAACGCCTCCTGCAGATCAGCCAGGTGGGGCGCAAAAAAAACAGAACGAGGTAAGTACACAGGGTACGCAGAACTAGAGCTGAAACCATTAGCCGGGAATTACTCAATGGTAAAACCAGTAAAACAAATTGACAAACTTTCACAGAACCCTGCTTTTAAACTGAGACGTGCCGCAATCGTAATACATCTTTGCATTCTTTGTTGGTGGTGAAATAAAAACCCATTTCTTTTTTGTTCTTTCCTTTAAATACTTCACTTGCACTAGACTATTTTATAAAAACCTTCATTAGTTTAATTTGCCAAATCCTCATGGTTCTTCTGAGTGTTCCAGATTCAAAAGCATTTTTTAGATGCGTTATAAAAACGTGTGTGTTATACAATTAGCAAACTTGTTTGAAGCATACGCTGTGCATAGGATGTGTGTGTAACGCTAGCAAGTGCGGTTGAGAGGGAGAGAGTATAAAGTCAGCAGTACGTTACAGCTGCAGTGTGTGCATCTCCCCGCTGTGACCAACTTGTCCAAAGCATTTTTGCGGTGGAAAACCTTGGATGCCGTGTAATTACAGTTTTTAAACGCAGGAGAAAACCTAGGGTTGAAGCTTTAAAGGCCACACAATGGTAACTAATGATATTACAAAGGCATGTGACAGGATCTCAGCTGCAAGTCTGCGGTTAACACTAAGCCTCCTTGAAGTTTAAACAAGGGAATACTGTGCATACGTTTTACATTTGAAAGCTTACTTTTTAACCCCAGATGATCTCAGTCACATGTCAGTCTGCATTCTAGTCTGATAACATGACTTCATAATACTTTTGAAAAGTTGCTTCTGCTGTCGGTTCTGCGGACACATTTGCTGGGATCTGAAATGGAATCGGGCCTGAAAAGGAAGCCCAGCTATCGGTCAACCTGACAGAGGTCCATTCATGCAAGAGAAGGGCTGCGATTGTGTATTCTGGTGGGTTAGACACACCAGGCGGGAGGATGAATGAGAGTCCTGTAATAAACCAGTAAACATGGGCAAAGCTGGTGGGAGCTGGCCTGCCATTTCTCTTAATGTTATCTCATTTCAATGATCAGTCATTAGTTTCAGCAAACTAAAAAGAGATCACAGTTGACAGTCGAAACATTCTTCAGGACAGGACACAGTCCATGTTTCAGTGGGATGTGAAACGTTCACTGTTCTTTCCCTAAGCTAAATACTCGTAGAACCTTAAATGATCTGATTATTGAAAACGAATATCATACTAATGTATATTGATCAATGTAAAAAAAACGTGGGATAACAGTGTTGGTCATATTGTCCAGTCCTAATGTCACATACTGCAGTGTATACTCACTTTCATGTACTTTATGTGTCCTCTACGAACTGCCATGAAGACACTTCACTGCTCCAGAGGCTAAAGACAAAATCAAACAACTCGATCAACGTGGAAGTGAGCAAAGTTGACGTTCTAAAATCACAACATTAAGTTGTACAAGGTTGTCAACTCTTGAGGGAGGGATTTACTGATTAATTAAAACGAGTAACAGTACTGCATGCTTACATCGTTTCCTGGGTGTTGCGAAGTGTACATGGAAGACACTTTTGTATTTGATGTACAACTAACTGTATCAAAACAATGTGTTAGATCTGTCCGCTCACATTGCAAAAGCAGGGTACATCCGCCTCTGTATTTGCTGTGTCCATTTGACCAGTTTTAGGACTGTAATGCATTACCACAGTGTGATCATGGTGAACATAAAGGATGGGGACTTTACAAAACTCTGATAATTGTGGAGAAAAGCAGACATGTTTGGATCTGCACAATTAGAGCTCATTTTAAGGACAATACAAAAGTAAATATAATTGGTCTCCAATAAATCAACCATACTGATTGTATTAAGTCACTGGCCAGACCGAATGGAAAATAGGTTTGCAAGCATTTGTGTTTCACATCCAGGGAAAGAGGCGTGTCAGGTTGAAGATGTAGTATGAGGGTTTGGATGTCAAATATTCTGCTAAGTATAGTGGAAATATCAGCTAATGTTTCACAACTTGACCTGCTTTTTTTTTTTGAATGAGCAACCTTACTTGAGCATGACGTTATGTAACCTGAGCATGGGCAGCAGCTGGAGCTGTCAGAAAACCGGATAATATTTCTCCATTGCTGCAAACAGGCGACATTTCCTTCACGTGAACGTCACAGCTTTGGCCATAATAACGACTGACACTACAAATACCAACCACGTGGCTTACGGATGTCTTCTGCATGCACAGAACACTTTTTGCTCGTGCATTTCTTATTATTTGTTACAGCTGAAGGGTCTTCAACTCGGAAACGTGCAGAGGCCTGATTAGCATTAGCAAGCTAACCAGCTGCACGCTCACTCCCTCTTCTGAGAAACATGTGTCCACTCAGGTTCGACAACAACACGACACAATGTTATAATTTTACTAAATATATAGGAACCAGATAGCCTTAATGGGAGGTAAAGTGTATGTTTGTCGTGGCTGTGTCTAGCCGGTAAGCTAACGTAAAGCACCGTGGCACTATTTTGGAGAACGCGGATGAATGCGCGTGTGTCCCCGCGCTTAAACCCCAGCGGCCTGCTGCTAACAGGCCACGGAGGCTAACATTAGCTTAGCATTGGCCCTCAGAGCTGCATGCCACTCATTGGCATTTGACTCACAAAAACAGAGCAAAATATAAAAAATACAGGTGCAAAACATGTATCAAGATTTTAGCATTACCAGCTTTTGGGGGTAATGTTGTTGTGTCTGCTTCTTTCTTCTATTTAGTCCTTTTCTTTGCGACGTTCACTTCTCTCCAAGTCAATAGTGGAGAAGAAGAAACGGAGGAAGAAACAGCAGCTACGTTACAAAGCCCACCACGCCCACTCACGTCCCGCCACGCCCCTGCAGAAGAAGCGTGGTCAACAACATCCATACTGTCAACATCAATCAACATTCAAGATTCAAGGCTTTATTCTCATGTGCACAGAAGCTACAGTGTAGATATGGCAATGAGAAACTTAAGTCCCAGGCTCCTCCAACAATGCAACATGAATATATATAGGAGATAAAACAAATACAACACAATAGTCCAAGAAATAACAGAATACAAATAAAATATTGCAAGAGATTGTTGTAAGATGTGCAAGTAAATACAACTAAAATAGAAATAGTGCAAGAAGAGTCTATACACATAAATGGAATATGATATATTGAAAAATAAGTAGCACGATGCAAACAGATTCATGTTTATGGAGGCACTTTACAGAGCTAAATGAACAGTGGCTTATGTTTTGATAACACAACAAACAGGATAATAAAATAAAAAATACTATTA